TCTGTAAGTCTGCTGCTACATTTCCTTCAGTTTTGCTATTTTGTTATGCTCCACAAATGAGTGAGATCATTTGGTACTTGTGTTTCTCTGCCTGGCTTATTTCACTGAGCATAATACCCTGTAGCTCCATCGATGTTGTTGCAAATGGTAGAGTTTGTTTTCTTCTTGTGCCTGAATAATATCCCATTGTGTATATGTGCCACATCTTCTTTATCCATTCATCTACTGATGTACACTTAGGTTGCTTCCATATCTTGGCTATTGTAAATAGTACTGCAATAAACTTAGGGGTGCATATGTCTTTTTGAAATTGGGCTCCTGCATTCTTAAGCTAAATTCCTAGGAGTGGAATTCCTGGGTCAAATGGTATTTCTATTTTGAGTTTTTTGAGGAACCTCCATACTGCTTTCCACAATGACTGAATTAATGTACATTCCCACCAGCAGTGTAGGAGGGTTCCCCTTTCTCTGCATCCTCGCCAGCATTTGTTGTTTCTTGTCTTTTGAATGTTGGCCATCCTAACTGGTGTGAGGTGATATCTCATTGTGGTTTTAATTTGCATTTCCCTGATGATTAGTGATGTGGAGCATCTTTTCATGTACCTATTGGCCGTCTGAATTTCTTTGGAGAAGTGTCTGTTTAGATCCTCTGCCCATTTTTTAATAGGGCTATTTGCTTTTTTGGATGTTGAGGCATATGAGCTCTTTATACATTTTGGATGTTAACCCCTTATTGGATAAGTCATTTACAAATATATTTTCCCATATTGTAGAATGCCTATTTGTTCTGATGCTTTCCTTTGCTGTACAGAAGCTGTTTTATTTTGAAGTAGTCCCATTTGCTCACTTTTGCTTTTGTTTCCCCTTGCCTGAGGAGATGTGTTCGGGAAAAAGGTGCTCATGTTTATATTCAAGATATTTTTGCCTACGTATTCTTCCATGAGTTTTATGGTTTCATGACTTACCTTCAGATCTTTGATCCATTTTGAGTTTACTTTTGTGTATGGAGTCAGACGGTAATCTAGTTTCATTCTCTTACATGTAGCTGTCCACTTTTGTCAACACCATTTGTTGAAGACACTGTCATTTCCCCATTGCATATCCATGGCTCCTTTATCGCATATTAATTGGCCATATGTGTGTGTGTTTATATCTGGGCTCTCTATTCTGTTCCATTGATCTATGGGTCTGTTCTTGTGCCAGTACCTAATTGTTTTGATTACTGTGGCTTTGTAGTAGAGCTTGAATTTAGGGAGCATAATCCCCCCAGCTTTGTTCTTCTTTCTCACAATTTATTTGGCTATTTGGGGCCTTTTGTGGTTCCATATACATTTTAGAACTATTTGTTCTAGTTCCTTGAAGAATGCTGTTGCTATTTTGATAGAGACTGCATTGAATCTGTAGATGCTTTGACAGCATTAATTCTTTCTATCCATGAGCACAGGATGTATTTCCATTTACTGATGTCTTTAATTTCTCTCATGAGTGCCTTGTAGTTTTCAGGATATAAGTCTTTCACCTCCTTGGGTAAGTTTATTCCTGGGTATTTTATTCTTTTTGATGCAATTGTAAATGGAGTTGTTTTCCTGATTTCTCTTTCTGCTAGTTCATCGTTGGTATATAGGAATGCAA